CAAGACTGCAGAGCTTGAGATACTCCTCTTTCTCGTTTCAGGATCCCTCCCTCACCTGCGGCTGGCGGAGCCTGGAGAGTTTACCAAACGGGCCTTTCAGAATGGGAAACTCGACCTGACGGAGGCGGAGGGGCTGGGGGACCTGATCCACGCTGAAACAGAAGGCCAGCGCCGGCAGGCCTTGCGCCAGATGGATGGTGACCTGGGGCGGCTCTATCGGCACTGGAGTGACGCTCTCACCAAGGCAAGGCGGGGGAAGGTGGCAGGCAAGGATACCTCTGATCCCCCACACACACACTGAGCGGAACAGTTCACATCCTGAGCAGAATAGAACAGCTGTAACCTTCGAGTGGGCCGGGGCAGTGCGAGACCCTGCGTGGCTCCAGATGGTTGCTGAGCGGGGCTTCCTGTGCCACTGAGGGGCTGCTCACCTGCACAGCTGAGAGGGAACGCTGGTTTCAGGTGCAGAATGCCCCCAGAATGCCTGTGGACCTTTCTGGAGGCGTTTTCATGGAAGTGACCACCGGTGGGTGGTGGTTAATGATAATAATGATGATGATGATAATAATAATAATAGTAAAGCAAAAACAGACATCCTGGGTTTGCAGTTCCGTGAGTCCCTTACCCCATTCACCTACGGCTGCCATTTGTTTCTTAATCTACATCATTTATATGTAGCTTTTCTTCACAATGGGGACCCAAAACGGCTTACACCGTTCTTACCACAGCATCCCTGTGAGGTAGGTTAGGCTGAGAGAGTGACTGGCCCTAGGTCACCCAGCATGCTTCCAGGGCAGAGTGGAGATTTGAGCGCGGGGCTCCCAGATCCTAGACTGATTCTCCAACCACTCTGCCACACTGCCTCTTTCTTCCCTTTGCATGATCGAAGGGATTTAAAAAAAAAAATCAGTTATAGGGACTTAGAGCAATCTTTCTATTAGGTCTTCTGAATCCCCTGTGTAATTTTTTTCTCTAAAAAATTCTCTAACACACTTTGTTGCAGAGAGATTTCATTTATTCATTTAAAACATTCCTGTCATGTTCATGGGCCCATAGTGTGGCCTATAGGCTCTGCGGAGGCCTGGTGGCTCCCGGGAAGTCTATTTGGGAGTAGTCATTGGGGCCTACATTTCCCAGGTTCCCTCTGGACCCTGCGACTGGGTAACAGGAGGTTTTGGAGGGAAAAACTACACCAGCAGGGAAACGGGGTGGTGCCTAGGAGGAGGCGATAAAAAGCCTTGCCCAGGGTGCGGGGGGGGTGTCTCTCCTCGCAGGGAGCAGGGTTGGAGGGGGCTGCTGCAGACAGAGGGATCCCTCATCCAGAAAGGGGGTCAGTTAGACCCTGGACAGGCACCTAGGGACGGCTGGGACTGTGCAGACAGACGCGTTAGGATTTATGATTTTACTGATTTACTTGCCTTTACTTTGCTCATTTTTCCTACTTGTTATTGATCTAAAGTTGAGCCAGTTTGGTGCAGTGGTTAAGTGCGCAGACTCTAATCTGGGAGAACCGGGTTTGATTCCCCACTCCTCCACTCGCACCTGCTGATGTGACCTTGGGTCAGTCACAAGCTCTGGCACAGCTGTCCTTGAAAAAGAGAAGTTTCTGTCAGAGATCTCTCAGCCCCACCCACCTCACAGGGTGTCTGTTGTGGGGAGGGGGAGGGAAAGGAGTTTGTAAGCCGCTCTGAGACTCCAAGTGACGGGCGGGGTATAAATCCAACCTCTTCTTCTTCTTCTTAATAGAACTATTCATTTGGTCGCGTACCAGGGGAAACCTGTTGGGCAAGCACTGTAACAAGGGTGCTGTGAGCCCACCCAGGGAGACCCATGCCAGAGTGGTGGCAGCCAGCAGTGAACCTTCCTAGCCGCTGCCCGCGACAATTCCTATGCTGCCCTTCCACCCAAATAAGGTCCCCAAGGCAGCCGGCATCGTAACATTTCAGCATTTTAAAATTATATATATAAAATAATTCAGCAAAAACGTATAAACACGTAATGACACCAAAACCAGGGAGGAGGGCCCATCATGTGTGTGTGTGGGGGGTATGGCAAGCCAAACAAAAAAGATAGAAGGGGAACGCTGTGCCCCTTGTATCTTCTCTTGCTCTTTTCCGTGCCACTTCCTTTAAAAAATGAAAGCTGGGAATTCAGAGACTGCAATAAACAGACTGCCCTGACCTGGGCGGCCCAGGCTAGCTTGATCTCATCAGATCTTGGAAGCTAAGCAGGGTCAGCCCTGGTCAGTCCTTGGATGGGAGATGGCCAAGGAAGTCCAGGGTTGCTACGCAGGGTCAGGCAATGGCAGACCACCTGTGTTCATCTTTTATGGACGGCTTCAAGAGGGAACTGGATAAACATATGGAGCAGAGGTCCATCAGTGGCTATTAGCCACAAGGTATAGATAGGAACTCTTGGTCTGGGGCAAGTGATGCTCTGTCTTCTTGGTGCTGGGGGGGATCAACAGTGGGAGGGCTTCTAATGTCCTGGCCCCACTGGTGGACCTCCTGATGGCACCTGGTATTTCTGGCCACTGTGTGACACAGAGTGTTGGACTGGATGGGCCACTGGCCTGATCCAGCATTGGCGTCTCTTATGTTCTTATGTACATTGAAAACTCTGCGGGGTTGCCATCAACTGGCTGCAACTGGAGGTCACTTTCCACCACAATAGACAGACTACCCTAATCCTATAGTAACATGTCAATTTCCATTAAAAAACAAACCAAACAGAAAACCAAGAGATCCCTCCCATTCTGGGGTGGAAGAATGGCTGCCACCGGGGGTCTGAGGCAGGGGAAATGGTGACCATGGGGGTAGGAAGTGCAGTGACACACACCTTCTCAAGTTATGGGGATTTTTTGAAAAATTTGTATTAGTTTATATACAGAAAGGGGAGAAGGAGAAGGGGGGGGAGGCAGAAATATTAAAATTTCCAATTTAACATTCTGCATGCATATCTTCTCATTACAGCTTCACAACTACTTCATCTATCATTCTTATTATTCTTCACTTGATCTTAATTTCTCAATACTTAAGTTTTAACCAGTCATAAAACGCCTTCCAGGGTCTCGTAAATTCTTCTTCCATTTTTCCTTTTAATATATTTGTCAACTTGTCCATTTCGGAATATTCCATAATCTTCAATATCAACTCATGTAGCGTTGGAATCTTCAATGTCCTCCATGCCATTGCGAGTAAAATTCTGGATCCTTCTCAAGTTTTGGGTGGTTGTTTTTCCCCCCCTCATTACGACCTTTTGAAAGAGAGAGTGATTGAGCAGCTGGGGAAAAGCTCAGAATGGGGACCATTGGGAGACTTGTGAACGCTCCAGAAAAGCTTGGAGACCTACTGGGAGGCAATCTCCGTATGGATGCAGCTGACCTGACAAAAATGTATTGGAGCAACATTTTGAGACGGAGTCTTGTGGCACCTCAGATTGCAACTTGCCCAGTAGAGCTCTCAGTCAAGAGACGGGTGTGTCTTGAACGAAGATGGTGGGACTTTGGGTTCAGATCTCCACTCTGCCACAGAAGTTTGCCGAGTGACCTTGGGCCAGGCGCCCTGTCTCAGCCTCACCTACCTCACAGGGCTGTTGTGAGGATAAGGAGATGGGAAGGCTATATTTGCTGCCCAGGGCAACTTGGTGAAGGGAGTATGCCTATAAAAATGTGCTAAGTTTCAGGAGACCCAAGATCCTACTTTTGCTGAGGCAGACTAATATGACCACCAACAATGTTAAAAGCCTCTCCTGGAAGTCTGTCTTTTTGTCGACCCCTGCTGTGACCAAGGATTCCTGGGGTGGGGCTATGCAAGGTCGGGCTGGCTCAGTTTTCAGTGGCTTCCACCTTCTACTGGATTCAGTAAGCTGTTATAATTTGGGTCACAGTGGGCGGGAGTGGCCCCGGTTGCCTATCCAACACCACCTCCCCTTCTATGAATCCTTTATGCAAAGAGCCGTGTGTGTGTGTGTGTGTGAATGAGAAAGAGAAACAGGGTCCATCCGTCCGTTCCCTGGCAGAACGAGCTGGGAGGACGGGTTAAAAATTCAATAAATAATAACCGACCAGGGCCTTTTCTGTCGCAGCTCCAACCTACTGGAATGAGCTTCTGGATGAGATCAGGGCCCTGTGGGACCTTTCACAGTTCACAGATCCGCAGAGCCACAAAAACGGAGCTCTTTCACCAGGCCTTTAGGTAAAGAGCTGTGTTATCATCTATGTCCTGTGCCAATCTATTTCCAGCCTGAGCCCGCCGGTAATGGATGGACTGATAATTGCACTTTATTGTAGCTATGCCGCCATTGTTCTGTTAATTGGTTTTAATAACTTTTGTGTATTCTGTATTGATATTTACATTGTTGTTTATCTATTGTTTCTTGTGTAAGCTGCCCTGAGCCCGCCTCGGTGGGGAGGGTGGGATAAAAATCAAATAAATAATTACAAATAAATAAATAAATAATAACCCCGCCCTCCCTGCAGGCCCTCACCCACATCGAAGCATACATTGACTTCAGCGAAGATGACAACATTGAAGAGGGGGTTCTTTCCCAAGGTGAGCACCCTCGTCGTTTCTTTTTCCTTTCCCTCCCCCTCACGCACCCTGCTATCCACCAATTACATTCCTCATTCCTCATATTTTTTGAATGTCACTTTTCTGTTGGCTGAACAAAAACAGCAGTGCGGGTAGAATCTTGGCACTGCAGTCTTGCCTTTTAGGAAAAAAGAAATTAAGTTGCTAGCCCTCCTGGCTGTGGAGGGAGAGCGGGGGGGGGGGCGAAGGAGGGGAGGGAAAGTTGGCAGCAGAGTTTCCCCATCTTTCGTTGCAGTGGAGGCCACGGTGGAGGTTTTGGAGAAGGAGCTGAGGGTGCACTTGCAAGACGGCCGGCGTGGGGAGAGGCTGAGGGACGGAGTCCATGTCGTGATAGCTGGGCCCACCAATGCCGGCAAGAGCAGCCTTCTGAACCACTTGTGTGAGTGGGGAATCAGCGTCAGGCCCGAGGGGTCTTCCAAAGCTTGTTCTTGGTTGCTGGGGTGCAGCTGGTGTGGCATGACTTCCCTCCTTGCTTAATGCTGTGGGTTCCCACCTCCAAATGTTTGTGTTGTCTTCTGGAGCAGTTTTATCTCTGGGGCATTTACCTCGGTAGGACTTCCTCATTGGCTGTGTCCTGTAGGCTCATTTTGCTTGCTATAACCTTGGGTGGCTCTCCTGGGTGGCCACTGGGTGGCAGCACAAGGATGCTGCAACTTTGGTGAGGGCTGTTGGCTGCCAGGTGATGTAAAAAACGGCAGCGTGATTAGGAGCTGCCTCCTCCACAGCCTGGTCTGACACCCACCCCACCCCATCCATCGAGCCCAGCCTTGCCTCCTCAGGCTGGTGGCTGCAGCTCTGCGGCAGAGAAACAGCTTTCCCAACAGACCAAGCCCTTGACCTGGAAATGCCCAAAGTTGAGCCCAAGTGGGGGAAGGTTGGGGTGGCCCTATGGGCTTCCTTCCTTTAGAATTTCCCAGGATTTCTCTCCTCCTCTGGGGGAGAGAGTTAAGTCTGGTGGCTCCCTGGGACTGGAAGGGGTGGAATTTCAATTGGGGGGGATTCATCTCTGCCCGGCATGCCGGATAGTCCTCGATTCCTTGTTCCTGGCAAGTCTTGTTCGCCTTGGGTTTGTTTATTGGGGTAATTAATTAAGAAAAAATGCCCGTCCCTTTTCATCCCCCGCTTCTTTCCTGAAATGAAAATGGAGTCTTCCGGCCCTTCACAAATTTACTGACGCAAATCTCGCACTCCTGAAATTTCCTGTTTTATGTTTGCTTCAACAGACTAACACAGAACCTCGATTTGAAATCCTGGGGTGGGAGGGAGGCATTTTTCTGGAAGCCAGACTGGAAATTTTGGAGAGCAGTGAAAAAAAACTTATTTGAAATATCTTCTGGAATCAGGGACTGGTTTTTAAGACAAGGATTTAGTCACTGAGAACGTATAATATGAAAATTACGTTATGCAGTAATCTACGGCTTTAGAGAATGACAGTTCTTTTGAAAATTTGTCTCTTGTGTCTCCACAGTATACAAAGATATTTTTATTGTCAAGTGTAACTAATTTTTGTCCACAGTCAATATGCTGTAATGTGTGACCTTAATATGCTATTGAGCGTTCAATCCTAGAAAATATAGCTAGATATTGATTTAGTTCTGCTAGGCATGTATGAGACTGTTCCTGTTCAAATCATGTGTTTTCTTTTGTTTCGTATGAAGTTCATGTTTTCTGTATTGAAATTATGCTTTTTCCTACCTCTCAGAGGAGAAAAGTGGCGATACGTGGGCTAAGGTAGCATAGATCAAGATGGGTGGGCCGTGTTAGTCTGTCCGTAACAGGAGAAAAGAGCAAGAGTCCAGGAGCACCTTCAAGACTAACAACATTTGAGGTAGAGGATCAGCTTTCTTGAGTCACTACTCACTTCTGAAGAAGTGAGCAGTGACTCATGAAAGCTCCTGCCGCAGATCTGGTTAGTCTTTAAGGCGCTGCTAGACTCCTACTCTTTTCTAGTGCTTAAGGTAGCATGGAATGCAGCAGTTTGCAATTCTCTCTCTTCCTCTAATATTAGGTATATTCGCAGTTTTGCTTGTGGGAAGCTACAACCTTTACACTTTAAAGGTCATCAGCATGCCGAATATTACAGGTTTACATGCTAGCTCAGTTGTACATGGTATGTTTTGTGGGGAAGCTGTGTAATAAACTTAGGCTTGATCAGGAAGATACATATTTAACTTTCCTCTCCACTTCTGTTTGTCTCTCCCCCCCCCCCCAGCTTCAAAATTCTGAAAAAGTTACATCTCTGCCCTGCCCCACCTGTGGGCTTGCTGGGCATCTGTCGCCCCTTTGCCTCTTGCCTCACCCATTTCCTAGGATCCTTCTGACTTTGTCCTTTTCCTCTAGGCCAGAAGCCAGCAGCCATTGTCTCCCCCATGGCGGGGACCACCCGGGATGTGGTAGAGGCAGCACTGAACATCGGGGGTTTCCCTGTGGTGCTGAGCGACACAGCTGGGCTGCGGGACACCGATGACGCCATTGAGAAGGAGGGGATGAGCCGAGCTCGTGAGAGGTGAAGGGGGTGAAGGGATGTCTGGGCACTGAGCACACCAAACTCTCTGTGCCAAGCATTTGCTGCAAGCCAGGACTCGGAAATGTTCCAGATGGGTCCCTTCGTCTGCTTTGGGATTTGAAGCCCGGTGCACTTTGTGTGTGACTGGCCCAAGGTCACTTTCACATGCCTTGAGAAAGACAGGAGCGCTCCGTCTATGAATGTCAGCTGCTTAATGGGCCTTTTGTAGGACCAGCAACAAACATCAATTTAGACTTCAATGTAACCACAAAAGGGGTCCTCAACCTTTTTGAGCCCACAGGCACCTTTGGAATTCTGGCAGAGCACAGCAGGCACAGCCACAAAATGGCCGCTGCGAGAGGCAGAGTGAAACACAAAATGGCCACCACAGCTTGTGAAGGGCCTTGCGCTGTGGCGGCAGCCGCCTTTCTTCCATTACGGAGCTCAAAGTGGACTATAATCTAAATATAAAATGCATAAAACAGAGTACCTAAAAATAAGGAAAACCGAAATTGAAAATCATAATTTAGGACTTCTTTAATCAAATGCAGTCCTAATAAACTGTCTTCAACTGCGAGGGGTCCAGGCACACGTCCCTGGGGAGATTGTTCCACAGTCATGGGGCTGCCACCAAAAATGCCCTCTTTCACGTGACCGCAAGATGAGCTTCTTTAATTCACGGGACAGTCCAGAGGGTCTCTCCCTGTGGTCTTCATTCCCAGGCAAGAGCATGTCCATGGTCTTCAATGATTCTAGAATGGGGACCATTCCCCCCTCTAAGCTGAGTTAGTGTGAGCTAGCTCACAGCTTTTTAGCTTCTGGCTCACACATTTTTGTCTTAGCTCAGGAAGGAGGGCTCCAGAGCAAGCTAATGCATGCAGTAGTCAAATCGCTCGCTCACAACTTTTACACCAGTCACTCACAAAGTAGAATTTTTGCTCACAAGACTCCACAGCTTAGAGGGAACATTGATGGTTGGGGACCCCCCCCCAGATGATAGCAGGGGGCCCAGTGAGCTGCAAGCACCTCCCAGTCCTGTGAGAGGAAGAGGGGGAATTATTACCTCACCAGCATTGAGGCCAGGACTGTGGGAACAGGTAACCCAAGCTGAGCACTAGGTGGGGTTCCAAGTGACTGATTTAGTTCATATCTAAGCAGCTCACATCCTTCTCTTCTGCCCCATTGTATCTTCACAACAGTCCTGTGAGGTGGGCTAGGCTGAGAGTGTGTGACTGGCCCAAGGTCATCCGGCAGGCTTCCATAGCAAAGTGGAGATCCAAACCCGGAGCAATTTCTCTAACCCTCCTTTCCTCCTTCCAGGTTATATGCTACTTCCTCCTGCTGCTGGGGTAAGGGGCAAGTGCAAGGAAGGAGGGTTAGAGCAATCGCTTTGGGTCGCTGGCAGCGCAGCACGGCTTAAGCAGTACCTGGATTCCAATTTGAAGATTGAGGTGGGGGTGCTGCTGGGGTGGGGGTGTTGCAGATTGGAAAGGGGGTGCTGCCCCACGCACCCCACCACTGGATACGGCCCTGCTGGCCTCTCTGCAGCCTTGAGAAAGACAGGAGCGCTCCGTCTATGAATGTCAGCTGCTTAATGGGCCTTTTGTAGGACCAGCAACAAACATCAATTTAGACTTCAATGTAACCACAAAAGGAAACTTCCCCCTTTAGAAGACTTTCAAGCAAGGAAAAGCGGGTGTGCAATTCTAAAAACTCCCGTTGGGGTTGATTGTGTAAAAAGGATATAAATTGACTGGTAGCTATTAGATTGTACAAACTGATTATTATTGTTGATATTGCATGTAATGAATATATACCTGTTTTAGAATATTATGAATAATACACAACGCACTTTATAAGATGGAACATATAAAACACTTTAACTTATACAAAAGGTCTTTGCAGTGTATATCTTTGTTGTTGGCCTCTCTGCACAAGCAGCAGGTCTTCCAGAAAGCAACAAAATAAAACAAAATGCAATATGTCTGTTCTGTAGGGGCTCAAGGCCCAGCAGAGTGTCTCTAAGTCCCCATCCAATTCCAGGCCTTCTGATCAATGCCGTTAAAGCCAGAGAAGATCAACAAAAACAGCAATAAAAGCAAGGGGAGGAGGGAGGGAGTGTGTGCAGGGCCACAGAAAAAGGCTCTGTCACTAATAACCTACCCATCTTCTTTCTATACCATGAGTTGGGTCCCTGAGGAAGATCTCAGTTGGGCTGTAGCTACATGCAAACCGCCAGTATTGACTCTGATTGTGTAAACAGAACCTCCAGCTGAAAGGGACTTCCGGTTTATGGCGACACGCTGAGCAGACTCATCTCCCGGACCTCCCGGGGATGAAATCTGTGCACCAGCAGAAAGGGGGGGGGCGACGTCTTGCTACCCCCCCTGGAGCCTGGTTGAAAAGCTCTTAGTTATGGGGCTTTTGAGAGGTGGCCTCTTCACCAGCGCGTTGCTGGGGAATTGAGGCGCTTCTCCATTCCGACAGTCGTCCTGCTGTGTGTCCGTATGGAACTAGTGACGCTGACCGGGACAAGCGCTGGAGATCGAGTGGTCTAAATGGAGCTACAGTGAGGTCGCAAGACTGACTATGAACTGTGAGTCGGATTAGAGCGTAATTGACATTTTAAAAAGAAAGCTCCCACCCCAAGGACTAGAAAAGAAAGCAAATGAGGGAGGGGCCCCTCCCATGCGCACGAATTTAAATGCGAGACCTGAGGGGGGAGCGAAAGTAAAAATGCTGAAATCTGTTGGAAGAGACTTACCAAGGCGTAGATGAACGTTTGAGCATATATTCAGAGACTTTAGCAAATCTTCGGCAAGTAAACAATACATAAAGATTGTGGGGAAGAGGACTGAGAAAGAAAAACTTTCAAAAGCGAAAGTAGTTGGGAGCCCTCGTCCGGAAGAAACCACCGAGTTGGCTAAAACGTTGGCAGAATCCCTGTGCCCCCTGCTGGACCAGATGACTAATCTCAAAGAACAGCTGTCAACGATGAACCAAAGCATCACTGGTCAGCAGCTTCAATTGAATGAGACTCTTAAATCACGGAACAAACAGCTGAGAAAGTGAAAGAAGTTGACGCCAGTATTCAAAAGCTGAAGAAAAAGGTGCAAAAACTGGAAAAGAAGCAAGTCTCTACAGAAGAACAACTTTTACAGCTACAAATGGAGAAGGCAAACCTGGTCCGATTCCAAGGTGTCCCAGAATCCAAAGGCGAGAATCTTAAGCAAGTGATGAGCGATGCATTAGCCCCAGTGACAGATTTGAAGGCTGAGTATCTTATGAGCGAGATGGATGTGGCCTACAGGTCTGATTCCATATACCTAAAGAAGAAGAATCTGCCTGGGGAAATAGTAATGAGATTCTCGAAGAGGCACGTGAGGGATTCTGTCTTGAGAGCGACTGTGGGGTCACCCTTGAAAATTAGGGACAATACCATCAGGATCTTGAAAGATATCCCATTTGAAATAAGGCAAAGGAGAAAGAAATATAAAGATTTAATTCTTCTTCTTCAAACAAATGCAGTTAGCTACAGGTGGTTATTTCCAGAGGGCGTAACCTTCAAACTTCAGGATAAAAAAGAAAAGATTGACTCTGTTTCCAAAGCACGGGACGTTTTGAGAATCCAGTTGGGCCAGCCAGAGGAGGTGGATAAAGAGGAGAAGGACAGTAAGTCCAGTGGCGAGCTGTACTCGGGGTCTTCCGGAGAGGACTCTTTCTGAAAAAGGGGTAGCTGCCCCTAAAAGTCCATATAAACTGAAGAAAATACAAGAAAAGAAAAAATGAAGGCTGAAGGACTCTGAATTGTGCCTTTGAAAATATGGTTTTTAATAATGGGATGCTCTGGCGTTTCTCTCTAACAGTTAAATCTAAGTTTTAAAAGATATTTTAGCATGTCTGACTAAGTTCAAAAGATATTAGCGATTCAAGGAAAGATTTTGTACTTAAGCTGTTTTAATGATTTCCTACTCTTGGGGTTTTAGTTAGTAGTGGTTATCTTTTCTTTCTCCCTAATTGTAGTTCCCTTCCCTTATTTCTTTGTAGTTTGTAGTCCAATTAAAAAAGCAATAAAAAATCCCCTCTGGGGGGCCCCCCAAAAAAAGAACCTCCAGCCGAGGTAGCCTGCCTTTGAACGTCAGGTGCCGAAGGGCAGTGATGGGGGGGCCTGCTGTCTTCCTGGGGCACTGCAGGGAATGGGAAACTGGGTGAGGTGAGCCTTCGAGGCAGACCTTACCAGGAAGTTTTGAGGGCCCCGTGAGTTCTGCAAGCTTTGGAAATGAGCCATGGCCAGAATGCCACCTCTGTTGGTTTTCGACTGGGGACACTGGTGGTGACAGCGGGGAGGCGAAAATGACACACCAAGCCTTGACTTTTCTTTCTGCTTCTCTGCAGGGTTCGTGGCGCTGACCTCCTCCTGGCCGTGCTGGACGCGGCAGAAATGGCCCAGCAGCCTGGCCGACTGGTGAGCACCCTGCAGGGCATCCTGCCACCCGCCCAGCAGGACGGGGCCCAGCCGACTCTGCTGGTGCTGAACAAGTCGGACCTGCTCGGCGGACAGAACAGAGCTGCACTCTTGGGGGCCTGTGGCCAGCTGGGCCTCCCTCCGGCTTGCCTGCTGTCCTGCAAAACGGGAGAAGGACTCCCCAGTTTCCTGGACACCTTCAAGGAGCAGCTCAGCCACATGTGAGGAAGGGGCAGGAAATGGGGAGTGGGTGGGGGGTGGGCTGGGAGCAGACGCTCCAAATCTGGCAGCACGTATGATTTATTTTGTCTTTATTTTTTTTTCCTTGCGATTCAAGGCGGCTGACAGTAATGGTTTAGAAGACTGAAGTTTCGGTCCAGTGGCACCTCTTAGACTGACAAAGTCTAATTCTGGGTTTATGCTTTTGTGAAAGCTTATCCCCAGAATTAAACTTGGTTGGTCTGAAAGGTGCCAGACTGGACTCAAACTTTGCTCTGTCACTTCAGACCAACACGGTGACCCGCCGGAATCCAAGTTAACAAGATTTTCAGTTTAAAACCAAAACGACAAGATTCATGGGTGTGAAGTCTTTTGACAAGTGAAAAAATAATCCTTTATTTGTGCATTCAGGGGAGTGCCATTTTGTGGCCTGATTAAGTTATGTTATGTCCCTGGATTTTTAAAAAATGCTTTTATCCGTGCCTATTGGCTGGCCAGAGCAGCAGCTAAAGAGGCCGAGGCCTGGAGCCCCACATCCTGCCAGGAGGGGGCTGTGTGGAGTTTCCTTTATTTTTTCTGGGCCCACCATTCTCGTTCTGAGTCTAGTCGCCGTTTCACAGCCTTGTCCGGGGAGGAGTGAATGGGCCGGCGGTCTGTCTCACCCCCTGGCTCAGCAGGATGCTTCCCCCCACCCCAGGTCTTTTGAACTGGAGACGCCAAGGCTCGAACGAGAACGGGGATCTCCTGGGGGGGGGGGGAATCCAGAGAGGTCTCCCCTGGTCCCACCTGGCTGCCTCCAGCGCAGTTCCTATTGATCGACAATTCCACATCCTGCCTCCCTGTGGACTTTCCCTGTGTGTTTTTATGTGACCCATACAATTCTCTCCTTTTCCCCTTTAGGTGTGGCGACCCCCTGCTGGGTTCCCCCAGCCCCACACAGGCCCGTCACCGGCTCTACCTAACCAAATGCTTGGAGGCCCTGGGCTGCTTTGGCCAGCACCGGCACCTGGATCTGGCCCTAGCAGCTGAAGACCTGCGCCAGGCCCGCCGACTCCTCGGGCAGCTGACCGGGCAGGTGGGGGTGGAGGAGATCCTGACTCTCATCTTCAGGGACTTCTGCATTGGGAAGTGAGGGGGATGGGCGGCTGGCGGGCAACAGTTCTTCATGCCAGGGGTGTGTGTCCCCCATCAAGTGGCAGGCAGTTCCAGAGGCTCGGCGGGGGATGCCTGCTGAGGCCTCAACGCCTGCAGGAGCCAAGAAAGACAAATGAGGAGACCGTTTTCATTTGGAAGAATCGGATGGTGGCTGAAGTTGTCTTCTGCAGAAGGAGAGGCAGGCTCCCTCCGCCGGACAGAGGTGGTCTGAAGCACATTTGGGATGTTGACCACCCAGCTTCTCTTCTGGGGCCTTTTTGGTTTAGGGTAAAAGAGGAGAGGGGGGAATGTGGTGCTCAGCTGACGGGTAGTAGGGTCAGGATGGGTACCTGGGGGGAAGGCCGGGACATAATGCTAAGTTAACTTCTGGCACTCCAGGCCTCAGGAGCGGGGTCAGGGTCATAAGATTAGATGCATTTTTTAAACAGGTGGCATGCATGTCATGGAGGGCGAGCCGGCAGCAGCTCAATGGAAACTCCGTGCTTCTTGGAGGCTGTTCACGATTGCAGCCGTGATAGACCTTCTTGGAGGCTGTTCACGCTTGCAGCCGTGATAGACCTTGCCCTCCACCAACGCTTCCAAAAAGCATTCTAACCTTGCGCTCGGCAGTTCCACAAGTGCCGTGGCACTTACTGCTGCAGAGACTGGAGGAAACTTTTGACCTTCTGGCCTTTCAGGCCAGGAGGGGTTCACAGGCCCATTCAGAGCAGGCCTTTTTAGCTCCCCCCCCCCCGGGGATTGTCCTGTTGCCGGCCAAGAAGTTGGGAGCCGTCTATGAAAACCTTTTTCCTGCCTGTCGAGAGGTGAGGAAAAGAGGAGCCCTTCCTCTGCAGGCAGTGAGAGGGAGCCGAAGACAGGAACTGGGGGGGCTTCCTCTCGCAGGCGTCTCCTAGCCCATCCATCAATGGGAAGCAGACGTTTCCTTGGGAGAGAGCGGCAAGTGGACACCCCCCCCCCCCCTTTCCCTGTTCCCGGTTAATGAGAACAGAACCAGGAAGATAGGGGGCCGGGAAGGGACCCAGTCCAGGGTAGCGGGTAGAGTAGGATTTGCGGAGGGGGCGTCTTGGGTTCAGGCATGGGAAATGCCCGGAGATTTGGCAGTCTCTCCCCCCCCCAAAGATGCCATCTCCTCCAGCGGAACTGATAGCTCAAGTCTGAAGATCAGTTGTTATTCTGGGAGATCTCCAGGCCCCACCTGGTTGTTGGTAACCCTAGTTCAAGTCCCCACTCAGCCTTGAAACTCTCTGGGTGGCCTTTAGCCTGTCGCTGCATCAGCATCTCCTACCTTGCAGGGCTGGCGTGAGGATAAAATGGGCAGCGGAGAAAGCAGGGTCTTATAGCTGTGTTTTGAAGGGGCAGCCCTACCTCGAGTGGGGCACATTCCGGAGTTCCAGTCAGGAACGGCCAGTTTCTCCCAAAGTTTAATCTGATTTTACAATTGGGTTTTCTTCCACAGGCCCCAAATCATTTTTGAGCTGCCTGTCAATCGAGTATGCTTTCATGTGCATGCATGAAACGGGATATACACACAACAGCTTTATGCCCAGAATGAAACTGTGTTGGTCTTCAGGGTGCCACTGGAACTCAAACTTTGTTCTGTTGCTTCAGACCAACACCTGAATCTGCTTTAACACAATGGCTTTCCTTGCAGCACGTGATACACATTGCTTTGAGTGACTTTGTGGTGAGATAGGGCACTGTGGCTGCAATACCAAGAACACGTTCCCGGGACTTCTGAGTAAGGGCCTTTATCCCTGTGTCCAGATTTGGAGTTGATGGAGATTTATTATTATTACTTTACTTCTCAGTGGGAACCCAGAGCAGTTTACATTTTATCCTCACAGCAGGCTAGCCTGATCTCATCCTCACAGCAAACAGTGGTAGAACAAAGTTAGAGTCCCGTGGCACCTTTGAGGCCAACAGAGTTTTATTCCAGGTGTGTGAGGCCCCAGGGGATGGTGTGGGGAGGATTTGAACCGCGATATCCCAGATCCTAACCTGAAGTTTTTGCCACTCTGCAGCACTGGCTGCAGGGAGGGACGTTGCTTCGCTTATGGGCATCCACTCAATGAGTGGATGAGTTGAGATCCAGATCCAAGAGGGCCTGGATTTAAGCAGGGCCCTGGCACTCAACGTAGGCCATGAACCCCTGCTAGGAAACCCGGTAAGCCTTACTGTGTCTTCCCGAAACCCTCTGAGACTTGGCACCCGAAGAGGAGGAGGGGAACACCGGCTCTGGCTTCCCCAGTTGCTAGTTGCAGAAAACAAGCTTGTAAAAATGATTTAAAGTGACAGAGAAGGAAATCTGCCAGCACTGAGAACAACCCCCCCCCTCCTTTTTTAAACTATCTTTTGTGTGTGTCTGTCCATTAAATACATCCTGGCCTTGGGGAGTTGTTTGTTTAAGCCAAGCCAAGAGGGAAGGTCGGGAAGTCTGACACTCGTTTTAAGGAGGGAGGGGGGGGCGCACTGTGAAACACATTGAAAATGTGGAAGCCAGCATTCAGAAGCGAAAATAAAGTCCATAAACTCACTCTCAAAAGGGCTGTGGATGATTTTGACATTTGCCACGGTGAAGAAGTCGGATCTTTGCCAGCAGCAAGATAGCTTATGACACACTTTGTGCATGGTGTGCGTGCGTGCGTGCGTGCGTGATACCCGTTCTGTAATCCTTAAGAACCGTCAAAATGGCGGTGGCTGGATCTGCCAAAAAGTCCGCCCGGCATCCTGTTTGCAGCTGGGGACAGCCAGATGGCTACGGCGGGCCCAGCCCAGCGGGACAGGAAAGCCCCCCATGACGTCTGTTTGCGTAGGCAGAGGTAGACTGTGTGTGAACATGGAGCTAGGGAAGGGACTTCCATATTGGGTCAGGCTGGGTGTTTGCTTGGGGTCCCCCGGCTTCCACTGTGTCACTCTCCACAGCGAACTCTTGTTTGTAGGCCTCCATCGTTATCTGGGTGGTCCAGGTTAGCCAGATCTCGTTGAGCTAAGCATGGTTGGCCCTGGTTAGTACGTGGATGGGAGACCACCAGGGAAGTCTTGGGTCATTCTGCAGAGGCAGGCAGTGGCACACCGCCTCCATTCACCTCTTGCCTTGACCTAGATGGCCCAGGCTAGCCTGATCTCATCCGATTTCAGAACCTAAGCAGGGTCGGCCATGGCTGGTCCTTGGATGGAAGAGCCCAGAGGAAGTCCAGGGTTGCTGTGCAGAGGCAGGCAGTGGCCAACCGCCTCTGTTTTTCTCTGCCCTGCCCTGGATGTCTCAGGCTGGCTTGGTCTCTTCAGATCTCAGAAGGCAAGCAGGGTCGGCCCTGGTTGCTGCCTGAATGGGAGACCACCAAGGAAGTCCAGGGTCGCTATGCGATGGCAAGCCCCCTCTGCTCATCTCTTTCCTTGACCAGCCCATGAGGGGGCTGCGACTCACAGTCAAGGGATATTGCTCACCCTGTGTCACAGTTGCAAGAGGGGACATTTTCTGAGATGGGCGGTGGCGGCGGCTTATCTGTTTGTAACATCAGGTCCCTTTTTAAAGTAGGAACGAGGTGTGTCACCCTTCCTGGCCAGCCTGTGCTTCTGCCAGGACTGAGGGCTCACACATGGCTTGACCTTCTCCAGGGAACTGAAAAGGCTGAGAGACGGGGCTTCCTTCGTGACTAATAACCAGTAGCTGCGGGGCTCTCCAAGACTGACTTGCAGAACTGAAATCCCTTTTTTCTCTAGGTGATTTCCCCCCCCCCCATTAGAGCCTCCAATTGTGCATCTAGAATGAGCCCACAAAACTTTTCACTTTTTTAAAAAATATATAATAGTTATTTTCAGACAGAAACTGAGCAGGATTCAACCTCTGGAGAGCAGATTTAAAAACAGAAAAGATTGCTGTCGTTTGGTGAACAGCCCTCACTCAAGGTCAAAGTTGTGTTGCTGTTTTAAGTTTTTAAGCTGGAAAAAGAGAGTGAGGGGACCATTTTCTGTGCTTTAGTTGTAGATTTTTCGGGCTGTATGGCCGTGGTCTTGACGCTTCGCCAGCAGCTGTAACTGGCATCCTCAGAGGCAGGGGTCTTGTTGTAGAAAAAGAGCTGCCGGAGCTCATTAGCATAACTCATTAGCATAACTTATTTGCATATGCCACGCCCCCTGACATCACCGGAAGTGACAGAAGGCCACACCCCCTGACATCACCGGAAGTGTGTCAGAAGGCCCGGCTACTTACCCTCCTGCTTCATCCTCATTCCCAAACGGAATGAGGATCGAAGCAGAGGGCGGGGTAAAGAAGGGGCGGGGCTTCACCACGTGACCGCCCCACCCCCTAGAGGTTCTCTTCCGGAGCTCCATACCTGAGAGCTCCCCCCCGACTAGAGCCCTGAAGATAAAATCCTCAGAGGTATAACACAGAAAGGCGGGGTACTCTCTGTGCTTATTTGTGTAAGGTGGCAGGGGGGGGGGAAGTAACATTTGTGAATAATAACTGGAAGTTGAGCTGAGACACAAAGGGGTTTCAGAGGGCAGCCAGCCACATTGGTTGGTAGAAGAAGAGCCGTAATCTGCCCTGAGCCTTTGGGACAGGGCAGAATAGAAATCTAATAAATGAATAAAAGTAAAATAAGTGCCAGATTCAATTCCAGAAGCACCTTAGAGACCAACAGGGTTTTGGAAATACAAGCTTTCGAGAGTCAAAACAGAGCTTTGACTCTGGAAGGCTTATTACAAGGGATGAAGGATGAATTAGTCTATCATTTGCTAAGGGTCATAAGTTTGGCAGGACCTAACCTGGCAGGGAGAGGGATGTAGCTTGGTGGTGGTGGTTGCTGGCAGCTGCAAGGGTCTGTTACCCAAAGGGAGTGTCAGGAGTACAAAAAGGGTTGGTCCTTTGCTCTCTCCCCTCAGCTCTGTGGTTAGAACTTACGTTAACTTTGCAGGAGGGATCCCATTTGCCCTTGAAGAGGCAAAATGCCTGGAAGATGGAACTGGCTCCCGTTCTGTTTGTAACTTTGCTACGGAGCTTGTTATGAGGACTTGCTGTGTAAGAGGCGGCAGCTTCCCTTTTAAGAACTGCTAGCCTGTCTTGGCACTTGAATGTTTTATTGCCGATTTCTCAGATGCTGGATGGTTTCTGCTGTGCATACATCCTGTGAGTTTAAATGTTTTTAATCAATTAAATGAAATAGTTTTTCAAAATATTTTTGCTGCATGCTGAGACTTGCTTTTCTGCTGATGAGCAGTAAATTTACCCCCTGAAGCAAACCCCGAGGTCAGTCGGACCTGACAATTACACTCCCAAACCTTTTTTGATCTCTCAAGGTGCTTCTGGACTCGAATCTAACAAAGAAGGGTGTTCTCTGTCTCCCAGCGGCTAGGCTCACACTGTCCATGGAGAGGCCTGTCCCATGCATGCCTGAGCACCCAGTTGTTGAACGGCTCGAGAAACTTCCATGGGCAGTTTGAGGAGGCTGATGTGGCTCAGGCAGGCAGGAACATGGGCACAAGAGTGTGGGGCATGGTTGTCTCTGGAGAGGAGGTATTTCTGCCCTTGGTTCGGCCAGGCGTGCCCAGCAGCTCCCCTTTGGGCCCAGCTACAGGTTACATAAGAACATAAGAGATGCCAATGTTGGATCAGGCCAAAGGCCCATCCAATCCAACATTCTGTCACACAGTGGCCAAAAATACCAGGTGCCATCAGGAGGTCCAGCAGTGGGGCCAGGATACTAGAAGCCCTCCCCCAAGCACATATGTTCTTATGTTCTTAAAACTGGGCTTGAACGGTGTTGAAGTGGTGGATTTTATTGCACTTCTCCGTTTTATTCTTCCAGCCTGGATTTGTATGTTGAGCACATATGCAGCACCTTGCACAAGTCAGAACACTTTGAGCACTCATTTCATTGTTACCTACCGCAGTTCTGTGAGGGGAAAAGTACAGAGAGAGAGAGAGAGAGAGAGAGAGAGTTTCCTGAAAATGCAGACATTCTCTGTCTGTCTCTCTGTCTCTCATATATATATTTAGAGAGTTTCAGAGGGTAGCCATGCTGGCCTGCAGAACACTGGCCATGTTCCAGTCCAGAAACCCCTTGGAGACTCACAAGGGTTCAGAGGTGTAAGTTCTGAAACTCTTTGATATCTGACAAAGGGAATGTTCACTCTTGGAAGCCTACAACCCTCCCCAAAATCTTGCTGGTCCTTAAGGTGCTACTGGACTCACTCGAATCCCGCTGTTCTCTCTCATTTACTGTTTGAAGGGGGTGGGGTAGCGACCTTGCCAGGGGCGCTTTCCATGTTGACTTGAGAATCATGCAGACGTTACAAAGATCCCCTAAATCTCCAGTGCTTCCAAAGGGAAGGAAACCCTACAACAACTGTTCCTGGAGTTTCTCACCATGTGGAGGGAGGGAGCACATAATCCCAGGATGCCTAGCAGTGGGACTGCCAGTCTCCAGGTGGGGGGGTGGGGTGGAGATCTCCCAGAATTGCTGCTGATCTCCAGACAACAGAGATATGTGACCCTGGAGAACTGGGCTGCTTTGGAGGGTGCATGCTATGAGGTCTCTCCCCTTCCCAAACCCTGCCTTCTCCAGGCTCCACCGCCCCCCCAAATCTCCAGGAATTTCCCAACCCACAGTTGGCAACCCTGCCCAGGAGAGGAGGAGAAGAAGAGATTGGATTTATACCCCGCCCTTCACTACCCAAAGGACTCTCAGAGTGGCTTTACAATCCTCTTTCCGTTCCCCTCCCCACAACAGACACCCTGTGAGGTAGGTGGGGCTGTGAGAGGTCTTTCAAGGACTGCTCCTGAGAGAACAGCTCTTGAAAGAACTTGTGATTGACCCAAGGTCACACCAGCAGCTGCATGTGGAGGAGTGGGGAATCAAACCTGGTTCTCTAAGATTAGAGTCTGTGCTCTCAACCACCACACCAAACTGCGGGTGGAGCTCCTGGTGGTCAAGGTCTCTTTCTAAGGGGGTCCAATGTGCTCCCCAGTGACCCCTTGGCACGTGCGTACAAACTCTCTCAGGCACGGAGACACTCTCTAGAGGAGTTGCTGCAGCGCTCTCTCTCTCCACCACCACCCCCGGGAAAGCACCACCAGCCCTGCAAGAATCCCAGCAAAGCCACTGTATGCTCTGGATTTTAACTCTTCAACTTTCCCCCCCAAAAAACCCTGTGGTATTGGTTTCCCGGTTTGATGTGCATCTTTTCATAAGCCACCTGGAGGAGGCGGCGAAGGAGAATCTTGGGCCAGAAGCATTAGAGAAGAGAATTGAAATCATCCTGCCACAGGGACTTGATGGTTCTGGAGGAAGGTACACCTATCAAAATTCTCCTTCTGGGCAGTAGTCATTAAAGCTGAACAGATAAATCATGTCTGTTATTTTTGTTTAGAGTCATGGGGTGAACCCCATCCTGAAAGCTCAGGGTGGGTTCACCCAAGCCTGTAAGTGGCTGCCTGTGTTCCTCCTCATGAGTAAGCCCATTTGCAGAGAGTTTCAAAAAGCAAACCCAAAATGCCCAATCAAGAGTGTGTCCGGGCCATGTTTTCATAGAGCATTTATTGGTCAAGGATTCAGTCCCTGAGATCTGATGGCGCACCCCTCCACGCTTACCGATCCAAAGGGAACACGTCTCTGCAAAACAGACGCATCGTTATGACGGAGAGAGCTGCAGATCAGCAGAAAGGAGCTGGCCAGAGGCCTCCAGAATGGCCAAAGCAGAGCAATAAGACAGAATCTCTCCCCGGATCCATTTTGACTCCTCTGACTGGCAGCAGGGTCTGCAGGGCTGAGGAAGGCCTTTCCTAACACCCCCTAAATACAGTAGAAAGGAGCAAGAGTGTGCAAGAGCAAGAAAAGAGCAGGCAGTGGCTCAGGAAAGCTCCAGCCGGACACAGATTTGGCTAGCCTTGAAGATGCACCTGGACTCTTGCTCTTTTCTACTGCTACAGATGAGCTAACATGGCTACCTGTCTTGCTCTGCTCTGGAGCCCGGGGCTGTCTTCATACCAAGCAATGATGGAGAACTCCTTTTTTGTTTTTCCCAAACCATCTGGGAATCGGAGAGCTTCTGCTGCTGGAGATGGAGCTGTCATTTTGCTATCCTGGCTAAATGCGATCCCATCAGGAGGAAGGAGGGGAAGTGATTAATTTTTTTTTTTTAAAGCCTGGTCTATATGTAAAGGTGTACATCATGCATATACAATCAGTGTGTACATTAAGCATAACATACTGTGTCTTAAACACGCGGCAGCGGAATTCCTTTCTTACTAAAGCCAGCCTTAAATTAGAGTCACGTTCCTTTCTCAGATTTTGAAAATGTCTTGGCATCATTTCTTTCCTGAGTGCATTGCAGTCACAGGATTTAAAAATATACATATATACATTCTCAGTGCTTTATTGCATCTTTTCTCCATTGAGTCCAGGGGAACATCTCAATTTCAGTCTCCCAACAACTCTGCAGGTAGGTAAGCCTGCAGGATGGTTGGTTGGAGCCCCAGAGGGATCATACAATGCCGACTATGTCTGCGGTGACTGGGGGAGGGGAAGAGAAGGGCTCTTCGGGAGGGGAGGGGTATCAACACAGAGCGGTGCTGCCTTGAGAAATACCTATGTACACGAGTTCTGCTAGAGGTAGGGGTCACCAGTGCAAAGCGGGCAAGGCCAAGAGATGTCCTCCTGGCGCTGCCATTCAAGAGAGCTGCCCAGGGCCGCCTCTTCTCTCTTGCCAATCTGAAGCGCACGTCCAGCACAGAGACTTTTCGGCCATGGCCCCTCACAGGTTTGTCCCACGCTGTTTCACAGTCTGCTTAGCCAGGAGCTGTTTCTGGTCGGCAATTATCTGCTGACCCCCTTAACCGCTAGAATGGGAAAGCAAATGCAAAAAAAAAAAGCATGATGGAAATGGTAAAAACTGGTCAAAAGCAACATTTTCCTCCAAGAAAACTGAACGTTACAGTGTACGGGAGTGACACTGGCTAAGGACACTGTTTTCTCTCCTCTGTGCAAACATTCTTAAGCATTTTTGCGCAGAAGAATTCTCACCCCTTCCTTTTCCCTTTGGAACTTGGATCTCCAACACTTAATGTTCAGCAGCGATTCCCCCAGTGGGGCTTGCCCACAAGCGAGCCTGCAAAGAACTGTGGCTGGGATGAGGCAGGAAGGCTGCGCGTCTTGCGAAACTCTCTCACAGGCTCCTGCTGGTCACGGGGAAGAAGGGAGTGCTGGGGGAGTCATAGCAGACAACCCCATCAGGCACTGAACGGCCACCTGGATCTGCCCCAACTCAAGCCCCGCCCCTAGCTGGTCAAACCCCACCCCTGGCTCCACCCACTGAGCTAGCAGTCCATAGGAGTTATTCAGAGCACCTGGGCTGTCCAGCGGGCTTCAGTGGGGGCTGGTAGGGGGAAAGGGCCTCAGCCCCAAGGGGCTTCCTGCCGTCTTCCGGCTTGTCATAGCCTAAGAAAAAAGCAAACACACGTAAGCATTTCACACAGAATGGTCACACTGATTTTTATTTTTCCGATTTATACCCCGCCCACGCTGTATCCCAATTCAGGGGCACACCGGCCTCCAACCCATGTGCCACCCCTGACCCAGGGACCCCCCAAGACCCCTGACCCATGTTCTACCCCTGACCCAGGGAGGGTAAGGAAGGCCAGTTGCGGGAAACAGGGACGCCTTGGCTATTCCCCCACAATTTGGGACCTAGGCACCAGACTACGGTTGCCTTCTCCAGCGCCTAAGACATTCCTGGAGATTTGGGGGCAGTGCCTGTGCAGGGAAGGATTTGGGGAGGGATTTCACACAGAATCTATGGTCTTAGAATCCGCTTTCCAAAGCAGCTGTTTTCTGGACCTCGGCAGTCTGGAGGTAATTCTGAGAGAACTCCAGGCCCGAACTGGAGATTGGCAGGCCTAAGAATCCAGCCTCTAACAGAGGCTGCCCTCTGGACTCCAACCCTCTTCCAGGCCAGGGTCTCCCAAGCCTTGTATCACCCGCAGTCATGCCAAGGACTGCACACCGGGTCAGGCGCGGGCCTCTACAGGCATCTCCTGGGCACCCACTGCCCCAGAGAGGCTGACTCACCACTGCGGCTTGAAGTCCTGAGAGGGCCAATGTTCCCCACTGGTCCCAAGTTCCGCTGAGCAGGCAGGTTTCCTTGTGGCCCATGGTCACCCAGAGCGCCGTGAACGGCAGGCAGTCCTCCAGTCCTCAACCAATGCGGATTGAAGGCGTTCGGTGCCCCCATGGGGACTATGGGGTTAAAATTCCCAGGGACACTGGCAAAGGGGTTTATGCCACCCGAAGCGCCAGGCACCCTCATCGGGGGGTTGGGCAGAGCGGCAGCCTGTAACATAAGAGACAGATTACAAACTTAATTTACGCACAGATTCCAGTGGTCTGAAGCAAGAGACCAAAGTTTGAGTCCAGTGGTACCTTGGGGACCAGCATAGTTTAATTCTGGGTGGAAGCTTTTGTGTGTGTGCGTGCACACACAAACGCACACACACACACACAATCTTATACCCAGAATTAAATTTTGTTGGTCTTAACTTTGACTTCTTACAGAGGAATGGCAGCATGATTCTATAATTTGTTTTTGCAGGGGGAGAAGGGGGATTACAATAACAAATCTTTTAATTTTCTTGCCAACCAACCCCCCCCCCCATTATTCTTCTGAATATTTTCCCTCCTCCGTCCCCAGTGATAAGTCCTGCTGAGAGCTTTGCATGGCTGTATTCACTGGTGATGCTGAAAGGCATATGAATGAGGCCAAGGCATAATTAACTGGTCCTACCAATGTAAACGGGAGTCAGATCTGATGGACCTGTGCCAGACAAAGCCATTGACACTGAATGATCGCCAGACTTTTCAAATCCAGCTAATCTTAAATGTTGATGATACATTTTAAGCTAGCAAAGGACAGTCCATTCAGGCCAGACAAAAGAGAGCACTTCTTCCTGCAGTGTTGAAATGAGCAGCGGAAAAGAGCAAGAGTCCAGGAGCACCTTCAAGACTAACCATATTTGTGGCAGGGGGGGGGAGGGTCCGCAGGAGAGCCGGAATGAGAACAATTCCTTCCCTGCCACAAATTTTGTTGGTCTTGAAGGAGCTCCTTGGCTCTTGTTCTTTCCCGCTGCTACAGACAGACTAACACGGCTACCTATCTTGTCGAAATTAGGTTAGATTTATGCCAATAAAAGTTAACCGAACTGAACTCGACTGAAATTAGGTTATGGAACTCACCGCCACAAGACAGATCACTGGCTTGAAGCTTTAAAAGGGGATTAGACAAATTAATGCAAGATAGGTTCATGACAGCTAAATTGAACTTTCATGCCCCGCAGCAGTCTACCATTGAATACAAGTTTCTGTAGGGTGGCTTTGGGCTTTGCATGTGAGCCTTTGGACTCATATGGTTGCCAGCCTCCAGGTGGGACCTGGAGATCCCCCAGAATTGCAGCTGTTCTCCATACCACAGAGATCAGTTTCCCTGGAGAAAAGGCTGCTTTGGAGGGTGGACCCCACTGAGGTCCCACCCTTCCCCAAAACTCCTCCCTCCTCAGGCCCCACCCCTCAAATCTCCAGGAATTTCCCAACCCAGAGTTGGCAAGCCTCCTTCTGAGGCATCCGGGATTTTTCTTCCACATCCTCTGATTTTCTCTCCAGGCTTTTGCTCAAAAGACATGGGGTTTTTTTGTTGTTGTTGTTCTGGGGCTTATGAAAAATGGTCCCAAGTGGCCTTTTGAATGTCAATCCCTTCAGCCTTTGGGGAGGGAGAGTGGGAAACCGGGCTAGAAGGAAAATAAAACCAGAGACCTCCAGGGGCGCTTTCAAGAGATGCGTTCTAGCATAAGCTTTTGTGTGATTAACCCACAGAAGCATCTGATTAAATGAGTCCTGTGACTCTCGAAGCTGCGACGGGGCTCCTCCTCAGTTTGGTGCCAACAGACGACTCTCACCCCCCACCCTGCCAAAAGATCATGACAGCTAGAAGGAGTTTTTGTGGTTTGGGGCTTTACAGGCAGAAGGGCTATGAATTTCCTAGAGGGCTGGGGGAGCCTGTTGCCCCCCTTCAGGAGTCTGTGTGCCTTTGCTCATTTCTGTATATTTCGAAGGAAAGGGAACTTGCGATGTTCTCCGTGCACATACCCTGGGTGCTGCCCCACTCAAAGGGTTGCCAGCTCTGGGTTAATTTGGGGGTGGAGCCTGGGGAGGACAGGGTTTCAGGAGAAGTGAGACCTCAGCAGGGTGTAATGCCACAGAGTCCACCCTCCAAAGCACGCATTTTCTCCAGGGGAACTGGTCTTGGTTGTCTGGAGATCAATTGTAATAGCTGGCAACCCTAATTGACCCGGAGGTTGGCAACCTGGCCTACACTGAGGCCCCTCCCTTCCCGGAGCCCCACCCCCTGCATGCTCCACCCCCCAAATCTCCAGCAATGTCCTAACTGTGACTTTGCAACCCTATAGTTTGTCCCTTTGAGCATCATGCAGCAGCCGGCATCTAACCAGGTCTTGAAATAGAGTCAGGTGGGTCGCCGTGTTGGTCTGAAGCAGCAGAACAAAGTCTGAGTCCATTTGGGCACCTTGAAGACCAACACAGTTTAATTCTGGGTATAAGCTTTCGTGTCCGGGCACTGCGTGTGTGCACACAAAAGCTTCTACCCAGAATTAAACTGTGTTGGTCTTCAAGGTGCCCAACTGGACTCAGATTTTGTTCAGATTTTGCAATGTAAGCAGAATGGACCAGTGGTTCTGAACATTCACAAAAACCTTTCTGTGCCTGCTGATGATGCCTAGCATATCGGCCAGACGATCCCCCTCCTGGGGCAGAAAATCCTAGCACAAACTTGGACTCAGTTCAGACAGGATGCAAGCCAGGCCCACTGGCGGGGTTGCCAACTCCGGGTTGGGGATTTCCTGAAGATTTGGGGGTGAAGCTGGGGGTGGGGTTGGGAAGCGGTGAGACCTCAGTGGGGTATCGTGCCATAAAGCCCACCCTCCAAGCAAGTCAGTCTCCAAAATGAACTTGATGTCTTCAGAATTCAAGGAGATCTCTGGGCCCCACCAGGGGCCGGCAACCCTACAGATGGGCCTCATCCCTGCCCTCAGCTGCAACTCAGAGTAGACCCCCAGGGCTGCTGGCAGGGAGGCTGTTTCCCTTCCTATTTGCAGGTATTTAGGGCCTGGCCAGACCCAGGTTGGGGAACACTTGGAGATTGGGGGTGGAGCCTAGGGAGGCAGGGACCTCAGTGGGGTACAAGGCCATGGAGCCCACCTTGCAAAGCATCCAAGTTCTCCAAGGGAACTGATCTCTGGAGCTCAGCTGTAATTCCAGGGGGATCCCCAGGCCCCACCTGGAGGCTGGCATCCCTAGGCAACTGGGCCCAGAGGCGGAAGCCAAAGAACTCTTGACTTGTGGCTGTGACTAAGCAGCCCTGTGGATTTAGGACCCACCCAGGAGTTCATGTTGTATATTTTTTCTTTAATGTTTAAAATACAAATCTCTGCTTGGGGTGGTGGTGTGGTGTAAACCTCTGTGAGTTCCCGGGAGAAAAGTGGCCCAGGATTAAAATACAAATCTCTGCTTGGGGTGGTGGTGTGGTGTAAACCTCTGTGAGTTCCCGGGAGAAAAGTGGCCCAGAAATGCCTACAGAACAAAATATTGCAGGAGGAGGCTAGAAGTGTTGGGCAAACTTATCTGCTGTTGTCGATCTTCTCCTCAAGGAACCCTAGCGATGCTTCTAAGGGGATCCAATTTGAGAAACAGGCGGCGGAACTCCCTGCCTCAAGATGTGACGACAGCCGCTGGCTGAAGCGGCTCTCAAAGAGAATTAGACAAATCCATGGAGGAAGGGGTCTGTCAGCACGACTAGCCGTGATAGCTAAATGGACCTCCATGTCCAACAGTTGTCTCCCTCCGAATGCCAGATTAGGGTTGCCACCTCCAGGTTGGGAAATACCTGGAGACAGGGCTCTTTTTGTAGAAAAAGCCCAGCAGGAACTCATTAGCATAATAGGCCACACCCAACAGCAGAAACTCATTAGGATTGGCTACATTAGGGGTGTGTGGCCTAATATGCAAAGGAGTTCCTGCTACAAAAAAAGGCCCTGGGTTTTGACAAGTGGTCATCCAGCCACACCCACCTTTTGCTTCTTATTCTCTTGACCTTGTTTGTTGTCAAAACCCAGGGCCTTTTTGCATGTTAGGCCACACACCCCTAATTGTAGCCAGTCCGAATGAGTTCCTGCTGTTGGGCGTGGGCTATTATGCTAATGAGTTCCTGCTGGGCGTGGCCAACTTGGGAGCCAGCCGGAACTCCGTTCCTGTGCGTTCCTGCCCCAAAATAGCCCTGCCTGGAGATTTTTTTTGGGGGGGGGAGCCTGAGAAGGGTGGGGTTTGAGGAGGGGGAGGACATCAGTGGGGATATAATGCCATGGAGTCCGCCTTCCAAAGTGTCCATTTTCTCTGTTGCCTGGAGATCAGTTGCAATCCCAGGAGATCTCCAGCCATCCCCTGGAAGTTGGTAACCCTACAAGATACGGGGGGCCCAAATACGGTGTTGCTTTCCTTCCCTACTTGTGGCTGTCCAGAAATAACACATCCCCCCCCCCACAGTTACAGGCAGGCTCAAAGCCTGAAGGCCTGCACAAGACGAGAGACCATATATTTAAAGCCAGCTTCAATAAGTACCCAGCACTTCTGCTTGATCCTGTCCAGGTCCTGCCGCAGGCTCTCCGTTTCGCTTAAGAGTTTCTGCTGCTCGGCGTAGATTGTGGTCTTCTCAGTGTTGCAGGCCTGCTGGAGGGCGTCCCGCTCCTGGACCGCCTGCTGCTCTTGGACGAGTTTGTTCCTCAGCTCCTGCCGCTCTTGGGAGCAGGCCGCCTTCTCTTTCTCCAGCGCGGCGTTCTCCTTGACCACGGCATTGACTCTCTCCTCCAGCCGCTGGCCCAGGGCGGCCATGTAGCCATCCAGCTGCTTGGACAGGTTGAGGCACGTGGACTGCAGGGTCCGGACCTCCTCCGTGTTGCAACTCCAAATGGACTGGCTGGGCAGGGTCTTCTCCACGGCGGCCCTCACGTTTTGGCTGGCGGTCTGCATCTCGCTCATCACCTGGCTCTCCAGCTCCCCGACCTTCCGCGCCTGCGTCCGGAGCTGGAGCACATCCCGCTGGCAGGCCGCCTCCTCTTGCTCCACTTTCTTGACTTGGGCCTGCAGGCGCTGGTTCTCCTGGGCCAAGTTCTTCTTCTCCAAGTCAGCTAACAAAGTCTGGGCGTTCAGCTGCGTTTGGAGAGCCTTCACTTTGTCTGTGGGCGGCCAGAAAAGCACAGATTTATTTTGAAAGACAGGGAATGAGGCAGGGACAATAGAGAGCCAGGGCGGGGAAGTCATTGGAATGTCAAACCAGGACTTGGGAGACCCAGGTTCGACTCCATGGGCGCTTGCCAGGGACGCTTGCTGTCAGCCTGACCTACCGCACAGGGTTGTTGTGAGGATAAAATGGAAAAGAGAGGAGCGACGTAAACCGCTTTGAGTCCTCATGGGGGAGAAAAGTGGGGTATAGATGAAGTAACTATATAACATAAATAAACGAGGATCTGACTGTGCTTGCCCCTGGGTTTTCCTTCCAGGGAGGCAACTGCAGCAAAGGATCAGAAATTTAAATCACTGGAGGGGAGGGGAGGGGAGAGCTAGCCCAAGGGGGTTTCTGTGTCCTCAGGAAACTATGATTTTGGTGCCGCCTCCCAGCAACTGAACATAGATACGCTACAGGGCTCTTTTTGTAGAAAAAGCCCAGCAGGAACTCATTAGCATAGCAGGCCACACCCAACAGCAGAAACTCATTAGCATATTAGGCTACACCCCTGACACCACAGCTCATTAGCATGTTAGGCCACACCCCCATGTCGCCACCGCCACCTTTTGCTTCTTATTCTGTTTACTTTGTTTCTTGTCAAAACCCTGGGCTTTTTTTGTAGCTGGAACTCCTTTGCATGTTAGGCCACACACCTCTAATGTAGCCAATCCTAATGAGTTTCTGCTGTTAGGTGTGGCCTATTATGCTAATGAGTTCCTGCTGGGCGTGGACAACTCAGGAGCCAGCCGGAACTCCGTTCCTGTGCGTTCCTGCCCCAAAATAGCCCTGGATACGCATAATGAAACCCCAACTGGCTCATTCCACAGGATGAAATCCAAAGCAGGCTTACCCAGGAAGCCTGAGTAAGGATGGTAGGCATGCATAGGAGGGATGCTGGTTCCAACCATTCTCTGTCCTGCGCCCTGGACCTCTGGGAAGGCCTGTGGCACTCTGACTCTTTGGTGTTCCCCCCCCCCGCCCCGATCTGATGCCCGCCTGGACAGTTTCCTGACTTGTGGCGATCTGGTGGAGTTTTCAAGGCGAGAGACGTCTCAGAGGTGGTTTGCCATTGCCTGTCCCTGTGTCGCGACCCTGGACTTAGCAGCTGAGATCTCACGAAGGCGAGCTAACCTGGACTATTCAGGCCAGAGACAGTTTCCTCGGTCTGCCTAATGGACAGGCCATTCCTGGCGGGGTGGGGGAGGCTTAAATGGCCCTCTCTTCACAGTTCTTCACAGGCTGCTTTAAAACCCGACCACAGACCTCTGGCATCCCCTACCCTTGACGCTTGCCAACAGATGTTGCCAACAGAGCAATCTCCGGGTGGGTCTATGCAGAGTGGGCCCCAGACTCCTTCGGTGTGTGGTGTTCTACTCACATCCACACCTGGGCTTCGCGCATCGGTAAGAGGATGCACCAAAAGACTTGTGGTGCAATCCAGGTTGCTGGTTATGTGCCACGCAATGGAAATGGGAAATGGGGGGAGGGAGGGTCGAAGGATGCGTGTCAAAACTGCACATATGTCAAACTGGGGGAATACAAAAATGGAACGGAACAGCAGAGGATTTCTAGGAAAGAAGACCGGTTAGGAACGCCAACCTATGAGTAATGTGGGTCGGAATTCCAGAGGCATCACTATAGGGTAGAGACTGCTGATCTGTTGGTGGGACCCAGCCCCACAGCCCCCCCCCCAGTTCTTGCACACCAACCTTTCCTCAGTCCCAACACATTTGGCCAGTGTAGCCCCTTGAGTGTGACCTTGAGTTGCCACCAGTGTTCCCTCTAAGCTGAGTTAGTGTGAGCTAGCTCACAATTTTTCAGCCTCCGGCTCACACATTTTTGTCTTGGCTCAGGAAGGAGGGCTCCAGAACAAACTAATTGATGCAGCAGCCAAATTGCCCACTCACAACTTGAATGCCAGTCGCTCACAATATAGAATTTCTGCTCACAAGACTCCACAGCTTAGAGGGAACATTGGACTTGCCACCCTATCCTCGGACGGAGGGACCAGAGGGGAGAAAGAAATCATGAGACAGACCCAGGGGCCCTGCTGGCCAACATCCTGCTTGGCTGCCCCTTGGGGGGAATTTTGGAGGGTTCAAATCAGGTGAATTCAAGGGACTTTTGCACATTTCTCTTCCTAGAGATGCGGTGGGGAGGAGGTAGACAAGATAGATGGAAAGATAGATCAAACAGGTGAGAACTTGGGGCTTTGACTTCCAAGTGAGGCTGGCCCCATAGGGATGTGGTTTCTTACCTGGATAGGTGGCGTTGAAGTAACTCAAGGTTTCGTAGCACATCCGGTAGTTCTGGATCGTAGCTTCAACCTGACGAAGCTGTGACTGAAGCTTCAGCTAGAGAAAGATCATGAGATGCTTATTCCCGATGGCTGATATGGGGCTGGGAGAGAAGATATTCAACTAGGACAGGATTCAAAAGAGTTGCTGGAACCTCAAGACTTGGAGGTAGGGATGCCAGACTCTAGGTGGGATCGGTGGATCCCTTGGAATCACAGCTCATCTCCAGGCTACAGAGACCAGTTCCCCTGGAGATAATGGATGCTTCAGAGGGGGGGACTCTATGGCATTGTACCCCAACGAGGTCCCTGTCCTCCCCAGGCTCCATCCCCAAATCTTTAAGAGTTCCCCAACCTGGATCTGGCAACCCTACAATTCCCTCACCGGTGGCCAGGGGGCGGGGGGGAGGACCTGACAACCTTGCTTGGAATGTGCTCTAGAACTCCCAGGGGGTTGGGGTGGGGTGGCAGGGTGAATGCAGTCACAGAAAAGCCCCCCCCCCCAATTCAGGACCAACTTCTCTGCCTCTGGTGGGATTCTTTGTAACGTTTCTAGATCTCCCTATCTCCATCGGTCCACCTATGGCTTTACACCCCACTTAATGTGCATTGACTTGGCATGCAGAAGGTCACAGGTCCAGTCCCTGGCAGCTCAAGCTGAGAGACCCTCGGGGGAGCTGGGACTGGGGAAGGCCCTGGAGAGCTGCTGTCGTCAGGGGAGGCGAGACGGGTTGAACCTTAGCCTGGTACTGGGTGAGATGAATGACTGGGCGTTAAGGCGCAGGGCTCACTCTTTCAACTTCAGGGAAGCTCTTCGGCACTCCAAGCAAATGCCCGCCATCACCTGCAGGTTCAACCCGCCGGACAGTCCCCAAAGGCCTCTACACGTACGGCCTCTACACGTACGGCAAATCATCCTCACACCGTCATAATGGCCCTGGCCTGCCTTTCTGCCCTTACAAGAGCCACTTTAAAACATACCTGATCAAATCAAACTTTTGAAGCCGTTAAAATTACCCCTCACCCCAACGCACACCATTAAAACAAAAGACAGAGCTAAGACACATACAGAACATAAAAATGGCCATTAAAGCATTGGTTAGGAAGGAGGGATGGATCGTTCAGGGGATGTCAGATGAGACAAACAAGTCTTCACCTGCCGGTGGAAGAGGGCAGCAGAAGGGGAGAGACAGATCTCCCTGGGGGGAGGGAGTTCCAGCAACGGAGAAGGCCCCTCCAGGGCTGCATCATGAAACCACTGGATGCATACCTTCTCCGTGCTGCAGAACCTGGAGGTGGTGTTGACCCGGTTCAGCTGGCCGGTGATCTGGCGGCTCTCGGATCAGCAGGTTGGTGAGGTTGGCTTTGTCCTTGGTGAGGGCTGCCGTCTCGAAGCGGCATTCGTGCAGCCAGGTGGACAACGCCTGCAGCTGCCTCTCCGTGGCGGCATGGTTGTTGCCGTAGACCATGAAGAGGACCAGACCCAGAATGATCAAGAACTGGATGAGGGAGAGGAAGAAGAAGACGTACTTGGCGTAGAAGCCGCAGTCCCGCTGTGGGCGCAGCATGGCATTGTTCTCCAGGCCCAGCTTGGCCATAGTGTAGGGGTTCTTCTCCATGGCTGCCTCTGCTGACTGCCCGGGCTCTCTTGGTGTCTCAGCCTTTGCCTTGGCGGGGTGGGGCCAGGCTCTCGCCACTGTTTGGATTGCGCTGATGAATATTTCCTCTCTCCTGGCTCCTTCCTGCCCTGCCGGAACTGCCACCACTTGTGAATTAGCACAACAGGGCCGTAGTCCCACAGAAGCTCCATTGTTCTCTGAGGTGAGGGGAAATGTTTCCCCCTGTTTGTTTTGCTATTGGGCCCAGCCAGGGGAGGCCAAGGCAGGCCAAGCTGGGTCTCTGAGGGCCCAGGGAAGACGTCAGCCGAGAGAGTGGTGGCCAAGGATTTGGAGAGGCGCCCAGCTCTTTGAGCCAGAGGGACAGTCTGCAGAAGCACAGAAGCCAATTCTGTTCACCGCCCCTCTCCCCCCGTTAGTCAGCTGGGGTCCAAAGCATCGGCAGGGAGTGGGGAAGTAGAGTTGCCAGACCAGGCTGGGAAACTCCTGGAGATTTGGGGATGGAGTCTGGGGAGGGAAGTTTGGAGTGGGAAGGAGCATCAGAAGAGTGTACTTTCTACAGAGCCCATCCTCCAAAGCATCCCTTTTCTCCAGGAGAACTGACCTCTCTCATCTGGAGATGAGCTGTAACTGCAGGGGATCCCCCGCCCCTCCCTGGAGGCTGGCACCCGTATCCCGAAGTCTTGTGATGTCTTAACAATGGGTACTTGCATTGTGGCAGAAGCTCGTGGGAGCTTGCTGACTTGTCAAGGTGACTCTGGGTTGCCAGAACTCAGGTGGGCCCTGATCATCTCCCAGGACCCCAACTGATAACCAGGCGACAGAGATCAGTTGCCCTGGAGGACATGGCTGCTTTGGAGAGCATCGCAGACCACTGAGCCCCCCCCCAAAAAACCCAGTCTTCCCTTGGCTTTAGCCCCAAATCTCCAAGAATTTCCCAAGCTGGACTTGTGTCTGATCCCTCACAGCTATAAGTCCAATACACGTTTAAGCAAAGTAGTATTTTATTAAAGCCAGGTTAGAGCAGGAACAAGTTCACTGTCAAGAATACCTGGGACGGGCTGAACAGGGGATAATGAAAGACATTCAAACAGATAATAACCACTAGGCTTGGTTCCCGCCGCGCGGGCAGACTTTCGTATTCGCGCTCAAAAGCCTGGGAAGCAACGTTTCTATAAAGATAAACAATTGAAGCTTCACACGGTCCAGCTCATTATAGTCTAAGCTAAGCGGCTCCTTCTCCACACCTGTTAATCTTGCAGATAAGCGTACACTAGCGTTCATAGAATGGAATGCATGACACAGGGATACACACAGAACACACAGGAGGCATGCGCAGATGCCAGAGGACGAGGGGGGGGTTCTATCCACAGACTTCAATGGCAGCTAGCTGACAACTTGGGAGCACTAGGGTGGGTGTGAGGACCATTCTCTGCTGGTGATGAATTGGCAAAGTAGAATGAATCTTCATAGGGCAGCTAAAGCTCTGCAAGTGGAACTGTTATTCTCCTGGATGAGTCAGCCACTCCCAATCTCTCTCGAGTCCGAGCTTATTCGTGTCAGATCTAGGGCTCTTAAGAGATATTCTTTTAATTCTTCTGTTCCCAGTTTCTCCCTGAAACTCGACAATCCTTTTCTTTTCCTCTTCTTCAGAAGTTTGGAGCCAAAATTCTGTTTTGATCAAAGAGAAGCAGGAGGGGCAGGAAGGAGGGAGAGTCTGAAGGATTTCAGAATTTCCCTTTGCAGATGCTCAGAGGTAGACGGCATTGAACCAACCCTTCCTATCCTTCTCTTAGAACACCACCACCCTGTGATATGTAACATCGAAGTTATAAAAGGCTGCATTGATTTATTTTGACTGCTTTAGTCACAGAGAAATCAAAGAGCAACAAAAGAGAAATCCCTCTTTTAAAACGGAGAAAGAAGAAGAAGAAGAGATTGGATTTATACCCCACCCTTCACTATCTGGAGGTGTCCCAGCGCGGCTTACAAACTCCTCCCCCTCCCCACAACAGACACCTTGTGAGGTAGGTGGGGCTGAGAGAGCTCTTGACAGAAACTGCTCTTTTTCAAGAACAGCTCTTATCAGAGCTACGGCTTGCCCAAGGTCATCCAGCCCGGTGCAAGTGGAGGAGTGGGGAATCAAACCTGGTTCTCCCCGATTAGAATCCGCGCACTTAACCACTGCACCAAAAGAGGAATCACTGGCTATGTCTAAAACAAAAAATGAATTTCCCATTCCCGTAACAACAAAATCTAGGTGTGAATTTCAACTCAGCAGTTTCACACTAGACTCTCCCTTTGAATCTTTTCGGCTGAAGGATTGCAACTCGGATTTCTACAGCTGAATGATGATGGAGATCAAAATATTCCCCCTCTCCCCAGCTTCCTACTGTTGTAATAGAGTCTCTGCAGTCAAATACTCTCTTGTGCAGAGGCCAGTGTAAAGGGCAGAACCCATTTGCTGTGGGGACTTTTCTCACCACAGGAGAGGGTGTTGCTAGGTTTCATTTCCAGCTCAAGTGTCCTTCCCTTTTCCAGTCTCGAAATAACACCGCAAGTTCCCTCCTGCCCTGGGATGCCAAAGGCCCTGACAGATCCAGGCTACTGTCCAGATAACGGCAACCGAGAAAATGTGTGTAAGAAATGCAATAAATAAGGGGCTTCTGATCTCAAAAACCTTGCTTTAAATTGCATTAGAAATATATTGCTTGAAATCAATTGATTAATGCTTATTTTGAAACCAGACAATAGGCCTGCACAAACAACCCAAAACTGAGAATAGGGACTTCTGGTCATAAATCATATAAATCCAGAAGTGCTTGGCTACATATAAAAATATAGTATCTGAACCTAAATGTTTGAACAGGCTTAAAGAAAGAGGAGCCCTCTGGAGGGAGAAGCAGAAGCACTATAGGGGTGGGGTAACTTTTAGACCACAAGATATGCTATCTCAGCAGACCCTCTGGAGGGAGAAGCAGAAGCACTATAGGGGTGGGGTAACTTTTAGACCACAAGATATGCTATCTCAGCAGACCCTCTGGAGGGAGAAGCAGAAGCATTATAGGGGTGGGGTAACTTTTAGACCACAAGATATGCTATCTCAACAGACCTTCTGGAGGGCAGGTTTCCACAGAGAAAGAGCAGAACTCTCAACAGAGGCGTTACGGCACCTCCTCTAGGCGAAAGGGATTGGAAGACTGTACGTTTTGGTCAGGGCGAGACAGGGCATTTTTAATTTTCTATACCTCTCCAGGATAGTATATATATCTGCTGATTAACTCAATTCGGGGTGTTCAGTTCTCTGAGCTGGGCACGCTGCTTGCAAGCTCTATATCCAATAAAATCTTCTGCTTCATCGAAAGAGTCTGTCTCCGAGAATTCCTTACTGGGTAAGAACCAAAACCGTAACCTTCAGGTGTTTTCTCACAGTTGCACATGATGTGCCAATGGAGCTGCAGAAATTTAACAGTTCCCACATTCCTTGTTGTGCTCTCGCCGCTCTATATGTTTTAAAAACAATGCAAGCTGAGATCCCATGCTTAAGCCTCATTATATCACAGTAGGGCTTTTTAGTGGTAATTCCTGCCCACACTGGATTGGGACCAGTGTTCCCTCTAAGCTGAGGCAGTGCGAGCTAGCTCACGGTTTTTTAGCCTCCAGCTCACACATTTTTGTCATAGCTCAGGAAGGGCGGCTCCAGAGCAAACTAATCGATGCAGTAGACAAATCGCTCGCTCACCACTTTAATGCCAGTAGTTCACAAAGTAGAATTTTTGCTCACAAGACTCCACAGCTTAGAGGGAGCACTGATTGGGACCATAACACTGGAGAGCAAAATTTGCATGAAAAGTGGACACATTTGAGGCTTCAGGGGAAGCTGGGGAGGGGGGGTGTCATGCAGTTAACGTGTCTCCTTTGCTCCCAGAAAGAAGCAGCTAGGAAAAGCTTCTCTTGCCAGAATTCTGGACTTAAAGCTAGTAAGGTAAGAAGCAGTCAGAGGTAGAGAGAGTAGAATTTTGGGCTGACGGGCAGCTGGGAAAAGGCTGATACCAGAAGATGGAACTTGACCGCACTTTTCCACCCCCAGGTCAGTGGCCACTACCTCTTACAGTGAGTTCTGCTGCTTAATTATGCATTATATGAAGAAGAACTCCCCAAGTCTGCAGCTCATCTGCTTCCCTGGGTGCCCTTCCCTGGGGGGAGGGAGAAAGGTTTGGTCAGTCTGAGTCCAGTAGCTTTTCTGCCTCTGGCTGTAGGGTCATTGTCAGTCCTTGTTTCCCCATGAGCCCACTGCAGTCCCCAGACAAAAGGCAGCTATCGTGAAATGGTGGCCCCAGTTTTAACCGGGACACAATAGTCTTCTCATGTTCAGAGCCCTACCAGGCCATCATTTCTCCCTCTTCCACCAGAGGGCTTAAAAAAAACCCCACTATCAGTTGCTATAGCATTATAACGTTATGCTAATCTTCTGCCAATATCTACTGCTTGCCACCTTTCATTTACAAAAGGAATCTGAACACTTTCAGGTGAAGTTATAAGGGGAAAGATGCAGGCTGGAAAAAAGGCCTTTGGGTAGGGTGGGGGAAGGGAATGGCTGCTGCAGGGGAAAGGAAAATGGTGGGTGAAAAGTACGCAGACGGACGAGTGATTTCAGCTTAGCATACTTTATTTAGAGCAGAATAAGACAAAGTTAGCCGGCTCACAGGCCGGCTTTTATCCCCA